TATCCTTTTTTTGTTTGTTTGTTTTTGTTACACATTTTAGCCCCAGTCCTTGTTTGCTCTGAGTGGGAAGACTGCACGAATACACTGGAAGTGTCTTTCTGGCAGCCAGCATAAATAGTTGGGGCATTTCCTGTGTAACAGTTTTATTTCATATTTCTTGAAAATAATCCGTGTTTTTTAAGAGCTGTATATGATTTTTGCAGTGTAACATGCTTGTGAATTTATTTTAGGAGAGAAGCAACTCTCAGAATGAACCCACCAAATGTACTAAGTCCATACTTTAGTACCAGCTTGGTTCTTCAAAGCTTTGTACTTCACTCTGCTTCCAATTGGTATAATTAGATATTGCAGAGAGAAATATTCACTTACTATGGCTTTTTTCTGTTTGTGTGCTTGTAGCATTTGGAGGCAATGGAGTTGGGCGGAAATATTTGAAGCTGGGTTTTGAAAGGAAAGTAAATTCAAGGATGCTGGGGTTTTTTTGCACACAAATGTTATGAAATGCAAGGCACAGCTGCATTCTGCCAGCCCCTGCAGCACTAATTTCTTCTTAGACTAAATTCTGTACATACCTTATATTACTGCTATGAAGGTTTTGTCTTAGAGCGTGCTGCTGTGTAAACAGTGATACCAAAAAAGTGTAATAAAAAGGAATTTTCAGGGTATGGGGATGGGGTGTAGTATGTGGGAGACAAAAGTATTTCTGTTGATCAAAAGCCTAAGCTTTGGGTTTTGATTTGTTCTTAGTCCAAACCCTGGGTTTCTGTCATACCCATTTTCTTCTCCAACTATCCTAGCGCTTGCTGCCTTTAATAATACTCTTTTAGAAAATAATAGCAACCAAAAAGATTGGTGGTGGTGGTTTTTTTTGTTTTTTTTTTTTAAATTATTATTTTTTTTTTAATCAAAGTTTCCAGACCCCAAAGTGACAGACATGATCACACTGTGAGGGAAAATAAACTCCTCTTCTGGTTGCAGTTTGCATTGAGATGTGATACTAAGTTCCTGTTGTTTTTGTTTTTAAAGAGGACAGGGGTATCTCTGGCAGCTGGTGTACTTTAGAGGCAGTTACTTGGTTTTCCATGAAATATTACAATTTCTTGTCAAAGAGACAGTATCTATCAAGAGAAAATCGCACGCACTGATAGAAATTGAGGAAGGCATGCAAGACTGTTCTTGTTGCTTTCTAGTTTTATGTCACGTTAAAGTTCCTTGTGGGTGTTCTCAGGCACAACTGGATTACAGCTATAATTTAAAGTGGTTCCCTGCAGTGGTGAGAAGTATTTACCTGTTTTATCACATCACAGACAATAACAAAGGAAACCTTGCAGCATGTCTGCCTGGCTGCGTGCAGGGAATAACTTTGTCTTTCTGCTCTGCTGACTCAGTTGATTCACTCAATTATATTATTTCAGGGAGATAGAGTGAGGCTTCATTGATAATAAGCTACTTAGGCAAGCAGAGCCCACTTATGATTTTGTTGATTGCTTACAATTGTGTAAGGAAGATGTTTGTGAATGATGACAAGCCAAGCATTGCTGTTTGTTCCCTCCCTAATCCTTCCTAGCCACTGTTCTCATCTCTCTCTGCAGCATCAGCTCATACAGAGGGGGACAGGAGATGGCCAGGCTGCAAGGTGGGCTGGGTCTGCCTATAAAATGTTCTTGTGGTGCAGAATCGGCTGCAGAGCAACAGTGCTGAAAGCATGAGGCTGAGTGTTTGGTATGGTTTTTTTTTTTTTTTTTTTTTTTTTTTTTTTTTAAGTCTCTGATAAAAAGGCGAAGGATCTGGAGCTGGGAGCTCTGTGAGAGGGAGAGGACGAGTATAGGAACAGGGCAGACACAGCAAATAGAGAGTGTGGGGAGACGGGGAGCACAGAGAAGGTGGGATACCAGTGTCTTCACTTGGAAATCTGCAGATCTGAGTATGATGGCAAGGGAGGACAGAGTCTGAGGCATAACAGTAAGTCTGTTAGTGAGGTTGCATAGAAAAATGTAAAAGAATGACATTGAGGCCTTATTCCTTGAGTCTGTGTTAATAGTGGTCATAAAAAAGTTGTTTGTGGCAGTGAGAGCTTGAGACAGCATACATGTACCTTGTTTATTTCCTAATATTAGACTACTCTTTTGCCTCTGTAGGTGGCTTTGTGTCAGTAGCAGTGGATTTATGCATTATTCTTTCTGTGGGGGTACAGGAGTAAAATACTTTTCACTATCAGAGCTGTCATTCCGTTTGTTTAAAAGCAAACCAAAAAAAAATCTAGCAAAAATATATGTAAAAGGACAGTGATTTTAGAGATTAAATACTGCCTTCATCTACTCATTTATCAAGGATAAAAAGAAAAACAATTGCACGGGAAATATAAGTAGAAACGGTGGATATGAGTGTTTTCAGTCATTAAATTGCTTTAGATGATGGTTAGATGACTAAAATCCAGAGTGTTCTTGCTTGATCTTGATCGTCTTTTCAGATAGTTCCTGAAAATTGGCATTGTCTGTCAGGAAAATTACTTTTGATTTAAAACATGGTAGTGATGACTTCACCTACTTGGTAAGGCAGCTACAAATCTGCATGAAATGTCATTTCTTGCTTTTTCTTCCTCTTCTTTCTACCTTTTTTCATCTGACTGCTATGTTTTAGTTTGTATAAAACAGTGCTACTCTGTATGAATATATTTACCCCAAAGCTTCTTCAGGAACATGACCTTGAATACTGTAATTAGATGGAATAGCAGTACATAAGCTTTCTTCCATTACTGGCGCTTCAACTAAAACTAAGCGCAAAAAGCAATGTATTTGCTAGAAACAATGTGACCCTTGATTCAGAGTTGCATCTTTTTGTGGTTGCTGTGTGAATCTGCTTTCTTCTGGTTTTGTTTGATCAATTCTTCAGATATCTTCCAAAACTCTTTTCTTCTAGTCTAGTTTTAAAATGTTATTTCTGTCTTATTTGTGGATGTACATTAATACATTGATTTCAGAAACAAAACATATTCCAAAGGAAGGGAATGACATTGTCTATGAAGAATGCTTTTTCATGTAGGACTCTAAGAAATGAGTATTTTACTTGAACCGTAGCTTTTAATTATATTGACTTTCAGGCTGAAGTTCCTTCTCTATTAAATTTGTTGCAGTGAACTATGCCAACTTCAAAGACAAAAGCTGGGGAGCCCTGCTCCTACTTAGATAAAACTGTCATTTATGCGGATAAAAAGTTACTTTATAGCTCCTGTGTTTATCAGATGGGACTGTTAAGTTCAGGTTTAGCAGAACTATAGATACTTGCTTATTTTCTCAGTAGTGTATATCTTCATTTAATAGCATGGATGAAATGTCTGTAAGAGATTACTGCTAATGGAAAAGTAGATCGGAGTTACGATTGCACTAGGCACGTGTTCTGAAATGCTTTAATCTTTCTGAAGCTTGACTTCTAACTTGAGGATGCTTAAGCGACTTTGATTCTAATATTAATAAGAAAAAAAAAATCAAAATTGTTAATGACTGTTTCTTGTTATTAAGAGCAGTAAATGGATATGGCTTAGCAGTTCCCAGACGTATTTAAAAATGGGGTGAGCAGAATAATTTCTTCAGTCTTAAAGTTCTTAAGATATCGTCAGGGGAACTTCTGGGAGGTAACTAGACCTTAAGCTTCAGTATAAGTATTTTTTTTGCTATAGGATGGTAGTGATTGAGCAGTCTTCTCTGATGAACAGCTTCTTATATCTGATTAGTCTAAATTAATTTTCACCATTGATGTTAGTAAATGCTAAAATAAATGTGTCTGTGTGTCTCAGCTCCTCTTAAATGATTGGCTGGCCTAAAGTGAAGAGAGTAATTGCTGAGGTGTGGAAAACAGCAGCTCAAACAGGTGAAGAGCAGGGGAGGTGTTAGAGGTATAGAATAATTCGTGAGATTTGGGTTGTTAGTGGCTGCGATAGACTGAAGTCTGAACTCAAGTCCAGTGCAAAATTGCTGGTCTGTTTACCAGGATGGTGGTAGGAAAATGAAGCGTGAGGAGGATCTGGTAGAAGGATTGATGTATGGGTGTTAGCCTTGTTTAGCTTGAGCTGACTGATAAGCCATCAGGGAAATCCTGTGAGAAAATATCTCGTGAAATATATTTGTTATCAGGTACCTCAAGGAAAGTCACATCTGTGTTGTCCTTGCATTTCCAGCTTTTTCTATTCCTTTAACTCAGATTTTGTGAGTATCCCCATTGTAGTTCACTGATAGGTGTGGTTCATGATACTTTATGTGAATCCTGTAGCAATTCAGAGCAGTGAACTAATATAGCATCTCATCAGGGAATGGCTGTTTACAGGGGTGGATAGTGATAGGACAAGGGAGAATGGTTTTAAACTGAGATGGGAGTTTTAGGTTAGATATTAGGTGGAATTTTTTCACACAGAGGGTGACACACTGGGACAGGTTGCCCAAGGAGGTTGTGGATGCCCCATTCCTGGAGGCATTCAAGGCCAGGCTGGATGTGGCTCTGGGCAGCCTGGTCTGATGGCTGGTGACCCTTCCCATGGCAGGGAGGGTTGAAACTAGGTGATCACTGTGGTCTTTTTCAATCTAAGCCATTCATTCTATGATTCATGATGAAACAGCTGTCCTTTCTATTAACATTGTCTTCCACAAGAATAAGATGTTAACATAGTCTGAAGGTCTTTCAGAAGAGGATCCCTGTAACTATTCCTAGCTATTCTGTTTGTTCCTCTTAAGACAGAGTTCACTAGAAACGGCTGAAGGCTTGGTCATAACTTTTGCCTCTGTTTGACCTCCTGTACAATAGGAGCTTTTAATGGTTGCACAAGACAAACCAGTCTTGTTGTAAGATGACTAAGCTTTGTAAGTGTATCTTCGATGCATATAACTTGCGTATGTTAAGTTCCATAACGGTTTTTTGTATGTATAACCAACCTGCTAACTCTGCTGAATTAAAGCCTAATTTCTAAAATGCTCTAAAATTTACCTGCGATTTTTCATATTGAGACACCAGTGCTAACAGAAAATAAGATGTTGCTGCAGGAAGTTATAAATCGGTGTTTATTAACTATTTAACACCATTGTGCATGCTGATGTATGTTTAATTACACAGTGTATGAAAGCTTTCAAAAATAGGCACTTTGAACAGTTAATTAATTGGCAGTTAGTTGTAATGACTCAGGAAGGAGAAGTTTGATTTCCATCTAACCAAATTGTCATACTTTGAGGTTGTCAAATAAATAGATGTTGCAAAGAATGTTGTGTCTTTAACTCTTTAATCATCTTTATTATTACTTTTTTTTTTTTTTTTTGAAGTCTAGAGATTCTATCAAGTTGGATGACCTGAAGGCAGAGGTGTCACCAAGGATTTCAGCAGAAGATCTGATTGATCTTTGTGAACTGACAGGACCAAGTCATTCCAAAACACCTATAAAAAAAACAAAGTCTAGCAAGCCAAAGTTGCTGGTGGTGGACATCCGTAACAGTGAAGAGTATCCTTCAAATCCAAGTGCTAAGCTTGACAAATCATGCTTGTATCAATTACCTTCTTTTTGTCTGCAGGAAAATGATAACAGAACAGTTTGGTTTTTTTTTAAAAAAAAAAAAAAAAATTGTCCAGTACAGTGAAAGAATTAAAGGTGTTCTTTGTTGTTGTTTTTTTTATCATAGGTAGTCATGGTTTGTAAAGGAAATCACAAATGTGTTCATGTATTCTTGCTTTCACACTTGAAGCTGTGATTGTAATGAAACCACATTGTAGTAACAGCACAAGTACTTTAATGCAGCTTGCTTTTTCATGATAGATATTGTTAGTACACCTTCCCCAATATTTTGGAATGTTTTAGCAGACCAGTATTTTGAAAATGTGGGAGACTTCCCAGGTAAGTGGAAGGGAAATGGAGAACTGTCAACGGCTCGCATGCTTTGCCAGTCCCTCAGTGGAAAAATCAATTTCTATGGAGTGCCTTCTCATACTGCAGGTAGTGCAGCCCAAATAATAAGGTATCTTGCTTATCTGCTTATAATCAGAAAAGACTAAAAGGTATCTAGAAGCTATGTTTGTATCAGAGTTGCTACTCTGTCTACACCTTACTCTTTTTTTTTTTTTCTAATACATAGTCTTTGCCTGCGGAGTGTCATTTACTTTTGCAGCCCAGCTTTCTATGTGACAGTTTGTAACGAGCAAGAAATATTCAATTAAAAAAAAAAATCAGGAATTGAGTCCATCTTCTGCTTCCAAAAAAAGCTGGACCATTCCTGTTATTTATGTCTGGCTTGTTCTAAAAGATCTCCGGTTACAGAGATTCAGCAGGCTCTCAGTAACATTGAAAAAAATGTTTCTCTATCTGGTCTAATTCTAATTACCTCACATTTATGAGAAAAGAGTGAATTCTAATCAAGGTAATATATAACCAAGAGTTATTTGCTTCCATAGTTCTTAAGAAGCACAGTTAGTGTTAAGGCACTTCACTTGATTGCTTTATTTCCCTTTAATGGTGGATTGATGCCAAACATTTGAGGTAAAATGGATAGTAAATATGTAAATAACTCCACTATATTTGATTTTTCAGCACTGAGGAGGTTGTTGAAGTACAATTTTATATCCAGAAATGTAATTTCTCAAATATTTTAGCAATATTTGTGACAAAGTATGGTGAAGTAGAGAAACAAATATTTTTAATATATAAATAGAAATAAATTCATTTCATACATAGTACAGTAATAGTATACATTAATTAAATAACTACCTGAAAATAAGTTTTTGTAATTTTATTGTTTGCCATACTTAAACTTGTTTTGTGTTCTTCTACACCAATTGGTCAAAGAAATACAAAACAATTTTTTTTTTTTTCTTTTCCTTGCATCCCTTTATTTCCTACCTCACTAAAGATTTCCAATTAACTAGAGATTCATTTACCTGACTAGTTTGACTTTGTTTTCTAGAGTCCTGTTTTACTTATCTCCTGGAATTAGGCTGTTGAAAATGTGGTCTGCTTTTTTTTGAGGCTCTGTTCTAAAAGATGATTTCTCCATCAAGAGATGATAATTATTAAATTCCAGTTAAAAGGAGAAGGCCCTGGAATTAAATGATCTACAAGTTCATTACTACTGTATGAAAAAGCTTTGATGCTATGGTTTAAATAATGTTTTTATTACTGCATGCATCATTGTGTTTTTAAGTAAGCCACTTACTAGAAATTATCAAAGACAAAGCAGGTAGGGAGCAAGTAACACAGAATGCCTAGCCTATAATAATTGTACTATCATCTGTGTACAGAGATGGATTTATTTGTATTACAACCAAGATCAAAGGCAAGGCACTTGCTTAAGTGTTTCTGTAGCTTTCCTAATAGCTTGATAACAGTGGGACTGCAGGTAAATGTAAACAGTGGTCTTTGTTTGGGGATCTGAGTGCCTATTTATTAGAATTTCAGGGTCAGAACTGTAGGGGACTTGGGAGAAGTTGTCAGGAGATTTTAAGAAAATTTCCTAATAATCCCTGTTTAGCTTTGGTTTTCATTGTAAGTACTATTGCATAAAATTCCTTAATAAGAGATGCCCCAGCTGCTCACTGGTATTTGATTCCTGTGGTCAGAATAGAACTGGTTTGAAGTAAAATTCCCTGAAATGTGCATATTCTGGATGGTCTGGAGCATGGTTTCATTCATAAACTCTTTTTTTGCAGTGCCTATGAAACAAATTCTTAATTCTGTCCATTTTTCTGTCTAGTTTCAGACATGGTTTTCTCTCCATGTATGTGGTAACTGAAGTTTATCAACATTTGCTAACACAAAAAACCGGCATTGGTGTATCTCATCTGCCAGGATGAAGGGCATGTTCATTCTACAGCTGTGTGCATAGAGCAATTTCTTTGCCTTGCACATGTCCTTAACTGTTTTTCCTAAGCTTTAACCGTGGCCACATCTCTGGCAGCATCAACGTCCCATTTGCATCAGCATTTACTGCAGAAGGAGATCTCATCCAGTGCCCAGCAACTGCCACGCTCCAGAGCTTTAAAGGAAGAGTTGTGGTGATTGTAGGAAATGCAGTGAAGAACACAGCTGCTGTAAGTCTGTAGATACAGTGGATATAATGTGTATGTTTACATGTAGAAAGACATCACAAAATGAATGCATACAGTGGTAATAAATACTACATTCTGAGTAATTTATATATTAATAACTTGGGGGTGGGTATCACTATAGGATCTGGGGGAATTTTTTGTTCATTTCTGTTTCTAGGCAAAAACATTTGAAGTAGTCAGCATCAGAGGAAGCCAACATTGTGAAATTAATCACTTAACATTTTTTTCACCTTTAAAATCTTTCTGTTGATGGGTTATGAAAGCAACATCAGAACTCCTGAAGTTTGTCAGTAAGATTTTCAAAAATCATTTGAGTTTAACAGTTGTTTTTTGCCATCGTGCTAAGGATATACAAGGTAAGTAGGGAACAACATGTGTGATATGAAGTCCAAGGGAAATAGGACATAGTTCATATTACTCCAAGTAAGAAAGAAACAATGTGTTGGTTATGTGTACTTTATTATAAAGTAAATCTGCTCAGTTAAGGGGAAGAATGATTCGTACACGTAACTTCTATATGATAGTTTGGGTAGATAGGGAGAATAATCAGACGTGCCTACTCATTTCTATAAATGTTTAATGGTGTTGTGAACCAGCAGAATAGTTAGTAGAATTACTACTTCTGCTAATCTTCATCTCAGGAAAAGAATATGTTTTTTTAATTCAAAGGTACGCTTTAGGTATGGTATACATTTAGTTCAGCTGAGTCTCTTTTCATTAACCTATGTTTCATGAGTTAAAAAATTGACTGGTGTTTGTCATATCTTACACTGTAGCGGTACAGGTAGTGGAAAACAGACCATAAAGCACATTGAATTGCTTCAGCCAGTGAGTCTAGGTTTGTTCACTGGATCTGGGTGAATCCATGATACATATTTCACATGCAATCGATCAATTTGAATAATTACTATTGCTCTACAAAATGTTGAATGCATATATTCCCCCTTAGAGGAATAAATACAAAATGTGTAAAATGCCGTGTGCCAAATGGAGATGATTTAATGGATGCTTGTCGCATTTGATGGTGGGTTACGCAGTAGCTTTCAGTAATTACATTTTAAGTTACTGAACCATATTAATTTATTTCAGTAACAGTCTTAGCATTCTCTAACTTCCTGAGGAGTAGGAACAGGAAAGACAAACTGCTTTGGTATTCAGTAATGAGTGTCTTTATGGGAGATAGCCCATTTACTAGCAAGTCATTTTCACAGAGTTGTTTTCCAGGACTGACCTGTCTAAAACAGAAGGAAGAAATAACCTGAAATGATTAGCTGTAGGAAAGGAAAGACAGAGGCTTTACAGTACGGTTGTGGGTTGCACCATGCCTCAGAAGAGCTAAATTTCTCTTATAATGTACACTTTTCATGCCAACTTGTATTTTTTGCAGCTTTTAAATGTTTCGGTAGATGGAAAGTTAAACGTTTCCTTTGCTTATGCTGCTGTAGAAAACCTAGTGTGCTTTAGTGAGTCCAAGCACTTCAGCCATGTAAAAGGATGTTGCATTATCCTTAAATGCAACTTGCTAGACTTGGGACAGTAGAAGAAGTGCATATGTTTACATGCAGCTATGAATATTACAGCTTTTTATAAGGAAAGTAATAAATTTTTTGAAATTGTATTAAGTAATCTAATAGTATGAAAAATTGCAGAAGTGAATGTGTGGAAACAGAAACAATGTTTCCAAAGAAATGTTGTGAGATGTTTGACCTCAAACATTTATTTTCTAAACAGTTATGTATCTCAAACTGGAATTTGCCACAGATCATGCCCTCCACCATAAAGGAGTTTGTTGTGGTTTTTTTTTTTTTTTTTCATACGAAGCATTGACTGATATTTAAACCATTAAAAATAGAGAAACTGGCTCTGTTAGTTGTGTTACTCAGATTCATGCAGCACTAAGCTCTGTATGGGTAAATGTAGGAAATGTTGATAATTTATGAGGCTATTTGTAATTAGGAGATAAAATCTTTCAATTGCGTTTGTGTTGGTAACCTGGCATCATTTCAGTAATCAAATAAAAATTGACTGTCTTGAATGGGCATACAGAAAATTCATTTTTGCCCTTTTTACACCTTTTTTTTTTTTTCTATTTCTGCTTTGTGTGCTTGATTTGGTGCCAGATGATAAAACACTTAAATTTGAAAGAAAAGGCTTTCTAGAACTCAATAGGCAATAGGGGAAAAACAAAAACTCCATAATGACTCAGTTCCAGGAGGAGACACTGAAGCTAGCAGCGCTACAGACATCATCTAGCTCTGGCTTTAGTTGAACACTTCCTTGAAAAATTAAAAACAGAGTAAATCCTCCTTGTTCAGCCATTCAAAGGTCTAAAAGCTAAGTTAATGGATTGGTTGATTACTTACTGAGCCATACAGGCGCCTTACTGAGCCATACAGGTGTTATGCTGGAATTAACCAGCCTGATTCTGTTTTGATTTTTAACTTACATATATGAAGTGGCAGCCTCTCTAAAGTGCATTAAATTCTCCATTCACACATCCACAGAAATATAATTACCTTGAAATTTCCAGTTCAGGCAAAGGATCATCACAACTGGGAGTAAAATGATCTAAGTGCTCAAGACCAGGTTTGTTTTTTGGTTGTTGTTGGTTTTTTTTTGTTTTTCCCATGCGTTGCAAATTGTATTTTGGTGCTCATTAATCCATGTCTCCTGGTTTTTGTAATTTTTGAAATCTATGATAACATGTGAAAAGATATGTAGGAATTAGTTTGTTTTTTTTTGGAAAAGGTGACATTAGTTCTTCATTTCCCATCCTTATAGATACTTTGAGGTGTTATTTTACCTGCTTCCATTTCCAGCTCTTTGTCCATACTATTGCAAGTTGACTGAAACTGGAATAGGGGAAACAATTTATCTAGCATTAGGTCATGTTCCAGCAGCTCAGTTTTAACATTGACTAGCTGTATCATGTGTGCTATGATTAATATTAATGCTGTCATTAATATTAACATATATATTAATTATTATTAGTATACATTTGTTTTTTGATTCAAATGCTGTAACAGTAAAAGACATAGAGCTCCAATATTTTGAATAAGTAGAAACTCACTTATTTTGTGCCTTCAGAAAACACAGAGAACCTGTGAGTCAAAACTTTAAAGAGAAATAAAAAAAATCTTTATATCAAGGTTAAAAAAAAAAAAAAAAAAAGAAAATCTAAATTGGGATGTTTTCATTCCTGAATGTTATTTTTTTTAATCTGGCTTAGTTATGTTGCTATAAAAAGATTGTCTAGACAATTTCTGCAAGTAACTGAAGCAGAGTTGTAGTTCTCACTGTGTCACAGAGTAGCTAATAGTTAAAATATATAAATTATCTCTGAAGCAAAGATAAGCAGTTTTGGTTTTCTGTGAGATCTTTCTGACCCTTTTCAAGGCAATAGAGAGGGTCAAGTTGAAGATTCTTTTGTATGACACAGTCCTAGCCTGAAAAACACCAACTGTTTTTTTTCTGTGTTGGAATTTCTCTAAATGTGGATGTTAATCTATGAACATAAAATCTTTTCTCTTGCTTATATATCTGAGATTATAATAAAAAGCGTTTGTTTTGTGGTATGGGGAGACTGAGGCAGAAAATGAATTTGTTGCTTTTTTCTTCTATGTACAAATTTAACAGTGGTTGTAAACTGGATATGATGTTTTAAGAAAAAAAAAAAGGTCTAGAGGATGTAAAACTAAGAAGTCTTCACACATTCGTGTTCAGGTTTTTTTATGTGAAAAGCAAGTTCTTGCATGCTCAAGCTGATTTCTTGTTGCAAACCTGTCTTGTTTAAAAAAAAAAAAAAAGGCCACAATTTCATTGGTTGGCCTGAAGATTAGGTATTGTGTAGAATAGTCAAGTGGAGATGCATAGGTGCTTATAAGGACAGAGTACCTAATGAAACTTCCAGAGTGAAAGGAAGTAGAAATCAGTCAATTAACATTTTGAGATGTTTTCACTATATGTCTTCTATATTCTTCATTTCCTTGTAAATGTTACTTTGCAGAAAAGTGATTGTAGAGAAAGGTGGGTTCCTGTTGGTTCTTGGAATGGTTCCTCCGTCCTGTTGTTTTGTTAAGGCACCACCCTACACTCTGAATTTAAACTCGGAGCCTACTGGCATCATCAGGTGTCTCTTTCCCACCTTTAAAGAGGAGATTAAGTTTGTGTTTTGAAGAGATAGTTGCATTAATCAACAGCAATCCTGGTTGCATCTCTGCCTGAGATAAGCTGTAGTGTCGTCTTTAAATTATTCTGTGAAGTCTGTATTATTTTATTCAGTTTGTTTTAGTTATTGTGCGTGCAGATTTTCTCCAGTTGGCAGAAAGATAGCCCAGCTGCTGCTGCCAGGACATTGTTTTTTGTACAGCCCAAGAAAGAAGCCTGGGCGCTGAGCCAGCAGTTGTGCTGCTGTTGTAATTCTGCCCCCATCTGTGTGTGTGGTTAGTTTGCATGCCAAAAGTATTGCAGAGATAACCTTAGTATTCCCCTTTCTCACAAGAGGAAGAGGGGAAAATGAAAGGAGACTCGGGAGCAGAACTGTAACGTTCCCTTCCATTTCTGAAGTAGGTGCCAAGGAAAGCAGCCTATTTCTAAAACTCCACATAGATTCTGTTCTTTAATCCACATTGAGACTGACAGTTACAGTTATAGGAAATTGTTTTGTTGGTGCAGAAGTTCAGAAGTTTAGTCCATCTGTGTGAATGTTTCTGAGATGAGCAATTGTGGAATAGCTTTTCCTATCAAAAAAATGTCTGACTTCTTGGAGATGCTGATAAACAAGATCTCAACTTTTCTCAACCATCTAGGAGATCTGTATGGATTGGAAAGGCTGGAGATGGTGAACCTGAATCCTGGAGTAGTGCTGTTAGACTTCAGTACTATCTTCAGGCGTGTCAGTCTTGGCCATGATTCTACTGTCTTTGTAGGCTGCATCTCTGAAAGAGCACCCTTGTCCTTGCATGAGCTTGTGTGAATTAGGTCATATCCATAGTATTCAGTGCTCTTGCATAACAAAAGTGAATTATATTAGAGCTACAGAACAGCTTCAGAAACTGCTTAGTATTTTCTGGTGTTTGGGTTCAGACAATCTGAAATAATGTGAAATGGCAGTAACTGAAATATAGATGAAAATGTACTAGTAAGTGTGTGTTATAGGGACATAAATAAGGATACTGCCAGCTAGAACAGTATGGGTGAATTTGACACTTCCAGTATCCATATGACCTCTCTGGGGCAGATGTTGTTTTACTCTTCCTGAAACTTTTAGTCAGTCAGTTTTTGAAGAGAACTGACTTCTTGCTACAGGAGGAACGTCCAAGGATTTGTGTCTTGGTGTGAAGGCCAGTTTAAGGCTAAAACTGGCAGTGTAGGCATTCCCTCAGAATCGTTTAAGTGTTGGTAGTTCGTATATGGATTTGTTATAGTCTGCTTCATTGGCCTAATTTTCAATTGAAAGAGATTTGAATTTGAGCAGCGTTAGTAGAAAGTAACGCAAAGCATAAGAAAAGATTTTGTATTACCAAGGACTTATTTGAATGTTTTGCAGCATCTAGGACAGACTTGAGAAGATTTTATAAAAGAGCCAAAGCCATCATAAAAAAGAAGTTGAAGTGAGCAGTTGCTTTTGACACTTAGGAGTGAAAGAGAATCTTTCAGAGAGATTCATACTCTTTTCTGTATTCAGACCGACTTTTCTATGCATCTCTTAAAAAATGCATATTTCTGTTCATTAACAGCTTCTTTTATTTTCTGTTCAATCAAAAATGGAATAGATTTGCTTTCTGCATTATAATTTTACAGTCTATTCAGCTGTACGGGATGCATTTCATGATTTTGGTTTGTATAAACTGTGCTAACAGCCAAATTTCTACAATTTTTTCATTTTCAATTCTCACTTTCTGCTGTGCGGTTTGTGTGTGTGTGCAATATTACATTTCGAAGTGGAAAAATTTAAAAGGCAGGTGCTAAAAAGTTACTACTCAAAGAAATATGAGTGTTCACTCTTAATTTCATGCTATTAAATATCTGTTTGTCTAGGCTTACTTTCAAATCTTTGCATGTTAAGCGCTTAAAGTTTCTGCTGTACTTTTGTATAATGGGATGGAAAGCGTTGCTTTTTGGCCAGGTCAGCAGGAAGAATTTTTCCTTGTTTTTCTTTGATCTTGTTAGAAAAGTAAGTAGCTGCTTCTGCTTTTTTTTTTTTTTTTTTTTTTAAATATAGTATATGTAATATATGCTTGCACCAAGTTGTGCACCTTGTGTTTTGCACTTCATTCAGTTTATGTGAATACCATAACTGTTTACCATAACTAATTAGGCACGTTTTTGTTGCTTTGGGAAACTTTTCGGTCTACCACCTTGATGTTAAAGTGCCATTTCACTTATCTGGAACATTTTAATTGAAGAAGTACCTGACTAAGAATAATCATATTTTGGATCTGCTTTGTGACATATGGAAAAGCCCTGAATTGAACACCTTGCTTTCAGAATGGTGAGCTCTTGCCTGAAATCATATGACAAAATAGATTGTGGTTCCTGAGAGGTTGGTGCAGTATGTGCTTACAAATGGAAAAATGATGATGATCTTGTGGCTATGGGTGACTGTTTATTGAGTTTGATAAAGGTTCCCTTCTCAGCTTCTACTGTACCTCTTTTGTCTCTTTTGGCATACATTACTTTTGTACCCTGATGACATTGATCACAGCAGTCCTTTTTGGTATTCTAGCACAGTAAGTTACTCTTTCCCTCCCAACTTGCCCTTTAATTACTAGCTGTCACAGGAATGTCTGCAAAAGTGAATAACGTATACTTAGCAACCATTATGGCTGGCCTGAAGGGAGCTGGGAATGGTGCTGCTCAAGCTGTGTGGTGTTATTAGGCTCTATTCTATACTCAGTCTGAAAGTGTGATGTGCCTAGTGTAATACATTCAGCAAATTTGAAAGCTGTGATTTTGCTGCTTTGGAACACGGTAGTAGAAATACTTTGATAAATGCTCCATTGGTGAATATCAATTTACCACCTTAAATTATTGAGGTTCCTGATACTTAATGGTACTAAAAGGAGCAGCTCTGACAAGCTGTTTCAAGAGCAATATCCATGCAGGGTAAAATATTTAAATATGCCCGAATTTTAATATAAATTTGCTTTGATGTCTGTGTTTTTTGAAAGCTTGACATTGTGAGTGAAGAAGTCTTAGCTTACTGCTTTTGGAGGCAAATTACATTTTTTACTGCTCATTTTCATTCACTGGGAATGATGTCTATGACTGACGCATTAGTTGAGGAATGGTGTTACCAAAGCCATGCCATAGGAGTTGTTAAACATGTCACCTACATATTCATATTTCCCTATTTCATATTTTCTATGAAACCAGGGAAAGGAAGTCCAATTTAATCTCTAGATGTAGCCAGTAAAAACACAGTAACCTAACTTTCTTGGGAACTATGTTTTGAGGAAAGGCCACCTGAGGCACATTTCAGAAAGCTTAGTCTTCTGGCATCTTTTTTATCCTCTCCCTCAGATAAGCAGTAACACCATTTCCCCAAGTAAAGGCAACAACTCCTCATAGCATTGTAATCTTAATGAAAACAGAAGCATTATAGGGGTCTGTGATCTACTAGTGGTATGGAGAAACATGTTTCAGAAGTCAGTGTGTCAGTAGAAGAATTTGATCAAGTTGAGCAAGTGTAATCACCATCTAAATGACTGAGGTTCTTTTTTCTCTTTTAATCAATCAGTATAATGAAAATCAAATTGTGAACTACTTCTGTATGTTTAAGTGAATCTCTACTTGAAATGCAGATAGCTTACAGGTTACCAGAATACTGTAACGTGTTTGTCTCCTCATTGTGTTATCTTCTGTCTTAAGAGTACCTCTGTAAATCAGGTTATTTACTGAAATAAATCTGCATATTTGAGTGACTGTTAAGTTTCTGGTTTGACACTTCAAGGTACCATTTTTGAGGGAAACAAGTTCATGTGTGAAGTCCAAGATGACACTTCTGCTTCAGAATCAGCTATGATATTAACTCCAAAGGGCACAATAAGCTTTTTTCCCTTATCTCTCTTAATTTCTTAGCTCCAAGTTTCTACATAAACGTGGGTTATGTTGGAAGAGAATGTTGTTGAAGCTGTTTTAGATAGTCCTGCCTCTCATGCCTCTGTGTCAGCATACAAGCCAAAAATAACACTTTTGTATTTTCTGAAAGTATTAACTTTGGTATTTTCAGACTTCAACAGGGTATTTTAGCAGGGAGGGGATGCCAGGTGGTGCTGGAATGTTTCAGGAACATGGAGAACAAGCTCCTGTTCTCATCTGTGGCCAGTGAACTCCTGTCTGGGAGAGAAGACCCAAAAATGTACTTGAACAAAACTGTAGAAAGTCAAAACTTTAGAGTGAAGACTATGATGTTATTTAGATGATTTATAGGTCTGAACTTTGCCAAAAATTACTGTTTCTATTTTTGAGTGGCTCAGTATAGGAATGTGGAAGATAAAGAGAGAATGTCTCTTAATAGGTTGGTTTGAATTAACTTATGAGTAAAACCTTGACTCCTTTCTTTTTTGCAGTGGCAGGTGTATTTGCAAAGTTCTTGGATGCTGATATTTGGAGTTTGATAGCAGCTCTCAGCTTTTGGCAGTGTGTAGTCTTCTGGGCCTCTGACTTGCAGCTAATTCCTACAGTAGTGAGGTACCAATTGTAGTGCAACCTGTATTGCTGGACGTTCCCTGTCTGAATGTTCAGACACAATATTTTGAGCTGTATTTGCGTAGTAGACAACTACAGACAGTTCCTTAAGGAAATGTAGGGGAGAAGTAACTGTTTTGTGCTCTTGTGCTTTCTACCTACCATTCACCAACAGCCACAGAATCTGCAGTGCTGATTTCTCAGAGTCTGTGTGAGGCATTGACATATTCCACACTATAAAGTTGTAAAGAAATATTGTCATATGCAGTAAATAAAAGTTATTTCTGTCCATACCTTGGTTACTAAAACTGTTCTAAAATATGGTGGGGCATAAACCATAGTGCTCAAATCTGAAATACAAAGCAGTTGTGTGATTATTTTTTTTTTTTTTTTTTTCAGGTTAGGTAGAATGGTAATTACATTATGCCTACAGCATAATTACATATGTCTACATACATCTTGGAGAGTTTATGGCTTACTCTCAGAAACAGAATCTCTCTGCTGACACATGGGATGTTGTGCTGAGTCAACAGCTGACTGCTTTCTGTCAGTCCAAATGCTGGTTGTCAGTTTTTATTTCTGTCATCAGAAAATGTGTGGTGTTGAATGGAGACCAAGATAGAGCTCTATCTATTCTCCACAGTGAAGTGAGAGGTAGTTGGACTCTTAGTGTTTTGACTGTGCACAGTACACTACTTCTGCACCAGAAAGCCTTTATAACAGCATGGCATTTACTTTCCTCATGCCAACTGGCATCTGCATATGATTTAACTTTTCTATTTTTTTTATTGCTTTATTGTGGTGTTTGGTTATTGGTTTGGTTTTTTTGGGGGGTTTTGTTGTGGTTTGTTTTTGTTTTTTTTTTTTCCATTTGATGCTTTGAATCCTCCCAAACTAACATGAAGAGATTATCAAATTTACTTTTTATCTTAGGCAAGTACCTCAAACAGACATGAAAGCCAGAATTTCTCCAGTGGATCCAGTAGGGCTTCTTAGTCTGCCTCACGAGTCCTCAGTGATTGCAGATCACATACTGGCTACTTACTGCCTGGTTCAATTCATCCTGAAACGAGAGAAAGGAATGCAGTAGCTGTTTGACATGTAGATGTACAAAATGGATTCTCTGCATGTATAAAATACCTTCAGTGTGAAGCAAAATTTCCAGCTGTGGAAGAGGTTTAAAATCACTGTGAACTCTTTTAAATAAAGTTATTTCAGTTCTTGCACTTCATCAGGAAATCACATAGTACATCTTGTTTCGCCTTAGTATCTGTTATGTTCGTTCTAATTAGCTGTGAGAGTAGAAATGTAAAAGATGATCCAATGTACCAAAGTATGTTGGCCATGGCACCTGGTGCTGTTCTATAATTGGTAATTCATTTGTTTCTGCAGTTATTTGGACATCAGGCTTGCACTTTGTTGTGGAATAATGTCAGAAATCATTTTTAAACAGTCAAAATGGTAAATCTGAGTGTGTTATGTAGCCCATTTAGAAACACTCGCCGTTTTCCGGATAGTACTAATTTGTCAACCAGATATAAAGCAACAATTTGGAAGACTAGAACAGCATGGCCAGTCTTTCTTTCAGCTATTGGAAATAAAGTAAAATTGTTGTTGTTTTCTTCCAATTAATCAATTTTAGTGGCTTGCTTTTTAATGTACTGCAGTCGCTATTCAAAAGGCAAGTTTGACATATTACGCAGAAATTGGTTCCTTTCTAGGCTTCAGAAGTGTAGCAATTTTTCATTGTTGCTACATGGAAACAGACAACTCCAGTATTTGGTTTACAGAATAGATTAATGGAGGATTTCAAGGAATAATTTGTCTGTGCTTGCTCTCTGTAGCCTGTCCATGGGTAGACTAGGGGAGGAGGGAAGGAAAGGAGGGAAAGAGAATACAAATACTGGGCTCCAAATTACTGATGTCTCTGAAATGAAGTAATGTTAGACTAGTTTGACAGGTAAGCAAATGTCTGTCCATCAAACTTTGATGCTTGTATGTTTGGGAACCTGTAGAGAACACCTGGGAGTAAGATTATTCCAGAAGAAAATACACGTTAATTTACAATTTCAGAAAAGTTCCAGTGATTATTTTGGAGGGGGAAAAAAAAAAAACTGATAAAATGAGAAAAATCCTACCTAAGCAAAGATAAGTAATGTTCAGATGTGATACTTTCCTGACCTCTAAATTCACTTCAGGTGCTGCAACAGACAAGCCTAGAGTTCCTATGTAGGACTCCTTGGTTTAAAAAAAGAACTTAAAGAATCTGATGAACTCTCCTTTTGTTTAACTTGTCTTAGTATAGTGTCATTTTGAATTAAGTCATATATATATATATATATATGTCGTAAGTCATATATGTCATGCTAATGATATGCCTACTTCAGTTTGCAGCTCATCTGGTGAAGAGCAAGTACCCACGGGTCTGCATCCTAGATGGAGGAATCAACAAGATCAAACCAACTGGTCTCCTCACTGTTCCTTCTCCACAAATATAAATGACTGTAAATGTTCAGGATGATTTGTCTGAATAGGCAAGTCTTGCAGTACAGCATCAATATTCAGTGACTCTGTTATATAGTTTTTGGGTGATCATTATCTCACCTTGCACATCAAGAGCAAAGTTTTATGATTGTTCTTTGATATAGAGCTTCATCTGCCACGGATGAAAAATGTGAATCTTCCTGTTTTCTGAGTAACTTCTTTCAGGGGTGATGTAGTGCAAAACCAGCAGAGCTCACCTGAGCTCAGTTAGTGTTCGGTATCTTAGAAGTTTTTCTGCAGAATGGCATATACTGGCAATGGATAGCCCTAAGCTGTACTTAAATAGATTGTTTTTCAAAAGTATTTTACTGTGAATATTGAAAGTAATGAGCTGAAATTGTCAGGTGTATCAAAGAAGGAAAAGATGTGTCCTCTCATTTTAAAGAATAATTGCTGTATCTTGTGACCTATTCTTTTTTCTTTTTTCGAAAGCATTTTTCATCTGGATTGGAAATAAAGATATGTCCTAGATTGGAGATTGCTGTAAGAGCTGCTGCTAAGTGAATTCAAGCTGTATCATGTACTGCAGAAGTGGAGAAGAGTTGCTGTTAAGTGGAGAATTTGGCATTCAGTTTCCTGAAACATGGCAAATATGACCATTTCTTAGACAATTATTGCAACAACAACAGATTATCGACAATGCTTTATCTGTGACAATAGATTGGGTACTCCACAAATAATAGAGTTTATCTGTGTTAGAAGCTCACACCTTAACGAGAAACAATACACTTTTAATTTTCATATGGAAACAGCTTAGAGAAATCTTTAATACAGGAAAACAAGGTTGTTAAAATGTATGTTAAAATGATAGACAGTATGTCTTTGAACTTAATTTTTTCCCAATTCTCACTTGCTTTAGATAGGCACTAAGAAGAAGCTCTTCCATTTGTTTCTACATTTTTCAAGTTTAGAAAATACTAGTATAAAGCTTAATAAGCACTGAAACTTGGAGTAGAAAATATGATTTGTAAAAAGCCTGGTTACAGTTGCACATTAGTTTCCATTGTGAGCTTAACACCATGCTCTTTGTTAAAACAAAAACTGTGAGACAATACTTGACTTCATACAACTTCACTGTTAGGATAACAAGGATCTGCCCTGAGAGATATTGCTACTTATCACACACCTTAGTTGGGGATTTTCTATCGTGATTGGTTTATAGATTGGCAAATAAGAACATTGTGTTAACTAACTTCATTTCCTTTTAGTTTGTCACAAGAGATTTCCAAGGCAAAACAGTTGTGAAAGGGGAGAAGAGGTCACGGAGAAGGTTGTGAACTCAGCCCATGAACATTCTCTGTAGATCACAGGCAAAATGATTACTTGTAACATTTTCTGTTATTTTGTGTAACTGATACCGTGGAATACCAGGCATTGTGGAAGGCGTTGAAAGAAGACTTGTTTTCTTCTGTGGATGACCAGAAGATTTTAATCTGAACCTTCAGAAGCTAGTCTCTCTGGAGTTGGTACTGTTTCCAGGGAGGTTCATTCTTACTGCAGCTGTTACTTTGCAAACCATAGAGGAAAAGTGTGATGAGTGAAAAGAATAGAGTGGAAAAAAAAAAAAAACATAATTCACCTCTCCTTATCTTAGCTGTGATTTGTCTTAAAAACAAACAAACAAAAAAGCCCCAACAGTACAGCATTACAGCATGCTAATGTGTATATGGACTAGGGTCGGCATCATATCCTGAAGCTTTCAAGAAGTTTTTACTCTTTAAAACTCTTAAGATCTTTGGTAGAGTGACTGGGTAAGGAGATCAGAAGACAAAGCTAGGAGGCAGTTGATCACATTTCTACATCAGCAAAAGCTTTCTGCAAGAATGTCTGGCAAGGTCTTTTGAGCTTGGTTAACTTTAAAAGTGATGCAAAAGTGGGAGAACTGGGCAGACAACCTGCTTGCTAATAGGACAAACCCATCGTATTGATCAAACTTTTGTTTGGCTACTTGGAGAAAGAAAAAAAACTTTGCAGTGCCCTGAAGAACCAGTTCTAGCCCTAGTTTGTGGTGAATTCATTGATAGATATCATCTCAGATGCTTAACAGCAACTGGAAGGCTCACCCAGAGTGTCAGTGACTGTAGTGAAGGGAATGAACAGAACAAGTTACTCCATCACAGAAATAAACTGCATGGTATGTTTTAAATAAACGCAGTGGCGTTATAATTAAAAAAAAAAAAAAAAGATCATTGTCTTCTAAAAAGAGGCAACCTATACAGAATATTCTCCCAAAAGTACATCCTTAAATTGTGGAATTTGTTGCCAGAAGAGACCAGAAGTGTAAAAATACTCATAAAGAGGGATCAGAGATTTGTGGGAGAGCTGAGTCTTGGCCTGTTAAACACAATGTTTTATAAACAGTCTGCAACTCCAAGGAATTTTTGATCTCTTGATTAATTGAGACTGAAAGAATATACCAGAATAAGATTTCACACTGTTTCTTGAATTCCTTTTTCACATATCTGCCTTTGAGAAATTTTGGGATATACCTAATACAGCAGTTCAGGTGATGTTATATTTATTAAATAGAGTGTATTATGAAGATATGAAACAACGTTTTATGTTATATATTATGGTATAATATATGCATAATTATAAAAAATATATATTTAAGCCCACCTTGTCTTTTCCATCTCCTTTGTTACAGGTATTCAGAAAAGGACTGTAAGCCCCAAGAATAGAATGTCTTTAAGAAAACAGGATATTTTGTGTCCCCAGTTCCTCGTTCCTTTAGTAGGAAAGGTAGGAGGTGTTCAGTATCACCTGCAGCTAGTATTTAGAGTGAGAAGACAAATTATCTTTTGAGTGAAGCAGATTCAGCACTTCCTTTTTGACTAATGCATATGTTTTTATTATTTAAATATTTAACGTTATAGATTTCATCCACAATATTGCTCAGTTCTGGCTTTGAATTTATCTAAGTAAGGTTTGAGTCTTATATATTCCATTTTTGTGTGGATATATTTTTGACATAGAACTTAAAAGCTGCCTTTTAAGTAAGTAAGTAAGAGCTTATGTTACAAAGTGATTTTTATACGTATTTTTCATGAGAAGTTGTGAGAGAACATGTGAAAAGCAGGGTATGTCAAGAACTACTGAACAATGCTGACTTTTCCCACGTTAACAGAACTACCTGGAAAGTTCTGTATCTAGCAGTTACAGATCTGCCAGTTGCTGGTATACCTGTACTTACCACTTTAGTCAGCGTTTTTGAAACTGTGCCTGTAAATAGGCACACTATGTCTGGATTCAGTTAGATTAGACAGATGCGCAGTCACAAAATTAATTTTAAACTCCTTATCCCTAGAAAATGCTTGTGTTTTGTGGTAATTTCTCATTAGATAATTTATCTTGGTTTTGTGGTGGTTATGCAGTTTAAGAAATGAGTGTCAAAACACTTTTACTTAGTTATTCTGCCAATTTTGGCAGTTTTCTGGTGGAACAAGCAGTTGTCAGGTTTCATAGAGCTCTTGAGAGATTTCTGGAGGCCAGGTTATTTTATCGTGTATATTTCTGTTACCATTGCTTGGCCAGCAATGCTGTGCTCATTCTTTGCTTTAGACTACAGCTATATACCAGGGAGATCTAGTAGGAGCAAGCAGCTACCAGTCTTCTGAGCTGATGTTTTCTACTGCTAGAAGAAAAATATCCCAGCTAAATATTTCCCACCTTTTGGACTGGAAAATGCAGCCTTTCTCAAACTCTTTTTTTCTGTCCTACAGTTTCAAAAACATTCTGAAATTGCTCCAGCCCTTTAGCCCATAGCTTCCTGCCAGGGCAGTCAGGAACCCATGGAGTGTTCAGGTGCGCGTCTAGGGACAACAGGGCAAAGGAGATTAAACCCTCTTTTCTCAGTCTTGCATCTGTTGATCATTGCAAACAATTAAATAATTGCTGTTTAACTAGGATGTCTTTTGAGAATGTTATTAGACTTTGTTTCTGCATCGTTTGGTTTTCGTTCTTTCTAAAGCAGATAACTGTTATTTTTAAATTTTAGTATGTTTCCTATTTTAGATTTCTATTCTCCCTGTTGCCCATATAGATTATTTGGTAGACAGTCTTTCTAATATTTCTGACATAAAAATTATAACCACAGCATCTAGGCACATGCAGGTTTGTATTCTTGTACTTAAGTGATTTATTTTTCTGATCTCCTAATTTTTCTTATACAAGTGTGATGGACTAACTGATTTGTTGGAATGGACAAAGGTTTGATTGTGATCAACGTCCTTTCCTTGTGTCTTTTTCAAGGCTTTAAGCTATCATTGTATTGTGCAGGCATAATACAGTGGTGCAATGTTTTTTCTGTGACCTTCTAGATATAGTTGAATACTTACCAAATTTTTAGATCTGCCATCCCTTCTTTATGAGTATTACCTTCCATAGGAAGGCTTGTCTTCTCCCACCTTTGTTGTCTTCCTAAGAACCTGCTGTAAGAGTGCCTGTGATTGGGTTCTTATGAAATAGTTGTATGTTACAGTCAGTGAGGCTACTCTTGCTGCTCGATTCAGCTAAGGAAGATGAATATTGGAGTATCTCTTAGATGGAATGCATGACACACAGCTCAAATAATGTTTCACAAAGGTAGTGTGGTAGTTTTGTGGCCTGAGACATACTTGCTGTTCCTGTTTGCGGGGCATTGATGTCCAGAATATCCTTTTTGGAGATTCAATTTTTGTTTATTACTTTGTAATACTTAACTTAATATGTACTGGCTGAGCAAACACCAGATTTGTGTATTCAACTAGCTAAACTGTAGACTTTCCTTTTTGTTTGAATCTCAAGCTACAATGTTAGTATTGTCATTCTTTTAAATTTCCAGTATTGGTAAGGATGTCATGCCAGAAAACATGTTCTGTTTTGGAAGTAGAGTTTCATCCGCCTTTCATCCACCATATGATCTAAAGATTGCTAATGGTAGTGCTTTTTAAGCAGTCCCACTGAATACCTGTTGGACAGCAGTCTGCATTCTGAGACAACAGCATCTGTATTCTGTGAAGTTAGGTTCAAAAAAACATCTCGTACTGCCATCATCATGTTGAACGTATCTCAGTACTGCACTGGGGCTGACTTTTTTTTACCAACATTAAATGGACCAGTGTTACACAGTGTTTAAAGAGAAACTGGTTGGGAAGGAAAAAAAAAATTGAGTATTATTGCCATTAGACCAACTTGCAATTAGCTCTTGTAAAGCTTTCTCTAATACTCTAATGCATTTAATTGTGATGTAAGTGGATATTCAAGTTAAGCTCTAGTAATGGTCTTGCATGTGTTGATAGAGTGACACAAACATGTGCACTGTTAGAATATATTTTTTTTGTCCTCTAGGACAAAAGCATTAGTCCTAGTGCTCTAGGAGCTGTATCCCATAGTGTACAGATACTGAGTTTCCAGACTCAGTAATCTGTGTGAAAGAACAGACACAGTTGAGCAACCCAGGTGGTAGTCATTGTGTTTAATGGGAATAACCAAGAGAAATGTTGTATACAACTGTATTGTTTAGTATTTCCTAACTAAAGCAGTATTAAATTTTTCTCTTCTTTCTTAATCTGAGCTTATCTTTGACATCATGTCACTTTAAAGAGTTATTGCATCTGGTGATATCAGCTCTTCCAGCTGAGCTAGCCAAGGAAATAAACCTGTGAGTACAGAACAGGTATACTGAACAATTTATTTTCTTTTTTAGAGAGAGATTGGGTGAACACGGCAGTAGTTTGAGTTGTTGGGCTATTAATGTGTGCCTTGATACAAACTTTTGATGTCTTAGGTAATCTGAGGAACTCATTCCCCTTAGTAAAACGGGCTAATAACGCTTTCTAATGTTACTTGGTCGGGACAAAGAAATATAGTGAGTACCATGACCAATTAGAATGCTACAGTACCAGGACAATGCAGAAACTTAAGAGTAACTTTCCTGGGAACTAAGCTGTTTCATGGGAAGGACAAAGATAAACGATAGAAATGAATTCTTCATGATTAATTTTGTAAACTATCCTTTTCCTAGTAAGTGTTACTAATGAATATGTGTCAACACTGTAGTAACTACTCACGTAGTCATTAATATTATGGTAGATAGCAGTATTTATGAAGGAGCCTTTGTATTGCAAAGCTTACTATACTTGATTAGTTACATCCAGCTAGTGTATACAAAATATTCTTGTGCAATTAGGGAATAATACAATCTGATCAATTGTCAATGGCTGATATTTTTCTTTAATGTTACTCTAAATTGGAGCCTTTTGTAAAACTACCTCACGACAAGATTTACAGCCCTAGAATATCAACAGTAAAATCATAGCTTCCTTTATAAAGCAGAATCACAAGCATAATAAGAATATTTCTATTACTAACTTCAGTTCTCTTTTAGCAATTCAAGCAAGTTAGTTTTGTGCAGGGAAGTTACGTGTAGAAGAGGGAAAGCAGATCAGTTTGCATAACTCTTTCATGTCCTTCTACGATTGTTAAGGAATAAAAACTACTGCATCAGCAGTACTGAAACACCAGCTTCTTTTTGCTTTTATTTTCTCACAGCTTCTCAGTGAGGAAATATAGCACTGAGGCCAGCATGCTCTTTTTTTGCTCTTAGTTTTTGCTCACCTTCCCTGTTGGATTCATGTGAGAGATTTTCTTAAAGAGTTTTTAATGCTCTGATTGTGTGACCTACTCCTGGAAATTGCTTGCTCCTTATTAGCAGATGCCCAAAGTCACTGACATTAGCATCCCTTGTAATGAAGGGAGATTGCTGCCATGCAAAGGGAAAGGAGAGAGAAATGGAAAATTCCTCTCAGTGCCTCCCCTGGAAAGGCAGCCTTCTCATAATGAATCACCAAGAGAAGTCTTCATGATGATGGATGGGGACCAGTGGGGGTGGCAGGAAAGAGTTGAAGGCAACAGGGAGTTATTCTCTAATTATTCTTTCCTGACAAGATAGAGTAACAGACACATAGGGCTGTACATCAAACTACTGCTTCTTGCACTCTGCTCATTACAGAAGCACCAGCATCCCTCATGGGCTGGAGCTACTCTTGGGATATCACACCCTAAGACAGTGGCTTTAACTGTCACCTCCCATTGTGGCAATGACAAGATGGCTGGGTTGGGTTTTTTTTGTGAAGGGAAAAAATGAACACAGTGAAAGAAGTCAAGCTGCCCTGCTGTATGTGCTACACATAAAAGCTGCACGATGAGCAGTCACAGGAGCTAGTAATCTAAGCATATGGATGTTAGTAACCTAATGCACTGAACTTGAAGATTTCCATTGTTTCTGGTGGTTATATGGTAAGTGCCAAAAAAAGAAAAAAAAACAACAAACCTTCTTCCATATCTTCTCACTTAATTGATGCTTCTTCCTATTCTGTTTCATCTACGTGATACCCTTCCATATGAATGAATTCTGTTAAGCTTGCAGTAGAACAGACTTCATGTGCTCATCGAACTTGCTGAGTTCAGAGTACTTACAGCTGAATAAATATTGCGTTCTGATGAGGACTGGCTGTTCACCATGATGCAGCCTTGCAGAAAGGAACTTTACTGTTTTGGCAAATGGTAATTTTCCTGCTGCTGAGTCCTCAAACTCCTTTGCCTTTGGGTCTGGGTGCAAACATAAATATGTGCATAAATGTGCATTAATAGTATGTTTTGCATTCTTGAATATTATGTGCGTGCATCCAAGGAGGAAAAAGGTATATATCTAAAAGCAGAAGGAGAATTGATAGTCCAGGCAAACAGGCCACATCCCTTTGCCTGTTGTGAGAAGCCAGGGCCATTATACATCTGTTCAGTTGCTGTAATGTTCTTTTTGTCATGTTGAAAAGCCTCACTTGTTGGATGTGTAATATCCTTGTATATTGTTGTAGTAATGATTTATTACTATTTTGTGCAAAACCTTGCTAGCTTTCTGTGGGCAAGGTTAAGTAAAGTTTTCTTTGTGCAACATCGGCTGCTTGTTGTAACATTCTGATTTTTAGAAATCTTCAGTTATTTATATATAGGTCTTGTGAAAACCTGAACCTGATGTTAAATGAGACCCAGATTCTTGAAAATACAGTCTTCACACTCAGTTCTAAATACCTAAAAAATTGGACTGGAGCTTGGAAAATTCGTCCTCATAAAGATCAGGATTTACATAGAGCTTGTTTGTAAATGGTTTCAGTGGGAAATGCTGGCAGAGCCATCCCTTTAGTGTTAATTGTTAACCTGTTTTGCAAGTCACCCATTCTGCTGGTGCAATAGAACAAACCTAAATGGAACGGGGTCATTCATTGCCCAGATTATCATTACTGATTCTTCTTAGCTGAAAGGGTGAGAAAAAAAAATTGTCTCTTGCATCTGTTTTCATTCTGAAATCTTAGGCAGGCTACAAAATCCTTTTAAAGTCTCTGCTGCCTGTTTCAGATTTCATTTTCAAGGGAAATCTTAACAAGTTCATATATTAGCAAGCATGAAGCTTTCCCTGCACTCTTTTACTGATTCAGCAAGATACTTATGCAGATGATCAGAGGCTCCATCGGGTTGAAGATAATGTCATGACTCCTAGCTTAAACTAGGCATATGCCTTAAATACCTTAAATACTTTATTCAGATCTGGCTTGAAAAAATTATCAGGTATGATCAAAACATCAGGCTTTGCCTGAATCCAGTCAAAGACCTGAAGGCTTTCTGTTGTGTTGGTATTTTATTTTATTAAATCAAAATTAAAAATACATCCTGTTGCTGGGAAGTCTTAATCAGGTTAAGAAATACCAGATAATAATGATAGTGGTACTTCAACGGAAAGATGAGGGAGCAGAAAAAATCAAAAAGGAAATAGAGAAAGGCCACCCACCAGTGATGTGTTGAAGGGATGTAAACAGCCTCAGTAGTATTCACGCAAGCCCTGGAACTGCTCTCATTCACATAACACGTCCCACTTGTGAGCAGTTACTGTCAGAGAGAGGAGGAGCCTGTCTTGGCTGTAGTTGCTGAGCTGCAGTCTACAGCTAGATAATGTTTTGTTTCAGGGGCCTGCTCTGTGGGAGGTACTGCTTGAGCAGAGGCTGTCTTTGCTCTTGACTTTAGCAGTTGCATAGCCTCCAAGGAAAAAAATTATCTCATTAGCTCTTGGCGAGGAAATGGTGTGCAGCCAGAGCAGTCCATATGTGCACAGCATGGTCTTTGTCATACTATGCCATTTGTAATTGCTGATTGCTTTTTGGCTGATGTTGAAAACCTGCCTGTCAATCCCCAGTTAGAGTGCAAAACAGTAAGTTATCATCCTCCCTCATCGCCAGTCTAGTTTAGCACAAGCTCTATCGAAGAGACTGTAAAGTCTCACTGCAGGAGAGGTTCATAACCTTTGGTCATATATAGCTTTCCAAAAATATAAATTATGTATCTGAGGGATCATTCTGTAGTGCAATTCTGTGTGTGAGTGCATACATACTTAATGCATCTCAGAAAAGCTTTCTCCTCTCTTTTTTTTTTTTTGGCCACTTTTTTTAATGGCCTTTCTTTCCTTCTGTGTGCATTTTGATTTGGTTTGTGTTTTTCTTTTCAATGCTATAACCAAGGATCTTGGTAGATGGAGGGATTTCTTATACCTACGTATAGTACAGGTACCTACCTGGCTACCTGGGTAGGTACATCCAATGTAGTGGTGTGCTTGTCATCTGTTAGTAACAGCTATCCAAGCACACTTTGAAATATTTAGAAGAAAAATGTACTTGGAGCAAAAGCTGTTTTTTGTTTTACCTTTAAAAAGGAGAAGTATTAAGGGAGTTGAAGTTATTTTATTTTCACCAAGATGATTAAAAGCTTGGAAAGCTGATAGCGCTGAAAACAAATGAGCATGCAGAAGAGAGGTAATAAAGTAGAACAGATGTTATATCCAGATTTGTCAGTGGGTGAGTCAAAATTGTGAGATTTAGAAAGGAATTATGATTCAGAGCGCTCAGCTGTGGCTCCTTCTCAGGCCTGTCCTCTAAGAACCCAGTTTTCATGTATTATGTATCTCTCTTTACGGGCCTCCTATGCCTGTCTTCCCAGGTGTGTGTGTGGTCCTGAAAGCAGAAATGATACTTTCAGAAAGTGTGTGCAGTACATCGTGTTATCTGTTACTCCAAGCGGGAACTGATTTATTTTTCTGACACGTATGTACTTCCAAACATAATGACATAACAATTAACCATAAATGGCAGACTGTCTGAAACCAAATTTAAAACTCTTATGCAGGAGAAGGAAGGAAGGAGAATCTGAACTTCATATTTCCCGCATTTCTTCAGGATTATCTCCTCAAAACTGGAAATCCGTGTCTTGAACAAACTGAAGAGCGTGAACCTGCTCATCTCTGATATACTGGTGTCCTTGCCAAACCAGACAGTAGTTTGTAAGATTCTCTATTTCTGTACATTTCCAAGCGCAGCAACCCCTGCTTTGTAGTAGGATGGTTGTAGGTGATAGTCTATTCTAAAAGCAACTAGCCTTACACCAACAGTCCTGTCAGAAGATGCTCTCACCTGTATAAATGGCAGCTATTAAGAGTGAATGCTGGCCAGATCAGCGATAAATTCCTGTGCTTTTTGGAATCACAGTTAATTACTGAGTTGGCTCATTATGCCACTGTGCTTTATAAAAATAAGCCAAATTTCTTTGTTGGAGAATGGTATACGGTTATCCAGAACTCATGTCTGCTAAGTCAAGACTCAAGAACAAAGAGGCATTGCAGCAGAGACCAAAGTTAATATCTGTTTTTGGAGGAAGACGTCTTTCTGGAGATGTCTAAAGAGTCTCAGTGATGATGGTATTCTCTGGAGCCAATCTGTCTTCTGTCAGGGTTTGCTTTTGCTTAAGATTGGGATTCATGTGTATGTTGTGTATCGCAGCATTTCTGTTTTGATTAGAGTGAGTGTTTGGGAAACTGTACTTGCAGGCTGCATTATTATGGTGTGATAATTCATACTGATAGACTTGGGCATGATCTGAACAGTAAGTCTTTTCTCAGGGGAAATCTGAGATAGCAAGGTAAATTAATGCTTTCTTTGCAGATTCATTATACAAAATTATGCTTAATTAAGAAGAGTAGTTTACTGTAGCGTACTCCAAAAGATCCGGTGCTCCCTGTGGGCTTCTTGAGATATCAGTAGGGTTGGAGAAGCAGCTTACGATGTACCAAGAACAAAGGGATTGACTTCAAGTGTTGCTGAACAAATTTGTTACCAGAAACTCTCAACTGAATGCAAGTCTGGAATGCATCCATTCTCCCAGTATTGGGGTAGTGTAATTATTTGTTTAAGAGGTATTCATGTGTTTACTGCCTTTACTGAAGCTGATGTTTGCTTTGCAGTGACCTACTGGTAGATCTGGCCTCTTGGTGAAATCTTGGGCACAGCCATGCGTGAGTGAGGTACACTTTTCCTTCAGTGAGCCAACAGCCTAAATTCTCAGAAACCATTCAAAGTATGCCATGCAGTACATTTCCTACAAAAGAAAAGACTATCAGATACATACTTATGCCTGTCTGGACAGTTGTTTTATGTGACAATGGTACTGCAGCACACTCCACATGTGCATCTTCTGAGAAATAAGCAATTTATTTGTTATAATGTAGCAGATTCTTCCTTTCAGATTCTTTGTCTCCATTTTTGCAACCATTAGATATTACTATTTACTGGGTATATTGCAAATGGCAGCATTTTGTGATTTTATCAGGCCTAGGGTTTTTTATCCAGCTTTCATATTCTGCTGTTTCCCTTACTGCCTTTGGGATTTTTCAGGTTGTATCTCATTCCTTGTGGCTCTTACTAGTATTCATGGTAATTAAAAATTTGTAAGAAAAGACTGTTTGAATCCAGTCTGCCCCTATAGGATCACTAGGAGATGAGACTCTGAAGCTGGTAGTAAATAACATTGTTTGTGTTTTTTTTTTTTTCTAGAAACTTGAAGTCTGCGCTGTAGGAGGAAATTTGGCAGTGTGCTCCAGTGTCTGATTTCTCTCTTTCCTGCTTTTTAATAGGATAGCAGTCATGTATGTTCTGCATGACTTTTGTACGTTGTAAGGACTTGATTTTCTGTCATTGCTCTGATATGCTGCTGCTCCTGCAGTCAGTTCTGCTGTTTTGTTCCCCAGGGTTGTTATTTCTGCAGATTTTGGGTACCTGCATTTATGACATTTCTCAAGTGTATTTCAGGGGGTGTATTTTAGTGCAAGTTGGTGGGGTGAAGTAATAGTTTATCATTTGATACAATGATTTTGGCAGAGTTCTCTGAGCATGCAACTATAATAGACTGGATAGTAAGGAGCAATGTTGAAGTTTCTTCATGTACTATAAAATGATGTTTGTGTGAACTGTGAGAATTCTATTTCTCAAGCTGTGCTGAGCTGAAGATGCTAAGCTTCGCTCCCTTTTCTTGTAACTAGAGAGACAATGTGAGCAAGTGTTTTGGAGAGACTGACAGTGTATTCTTGCCTCTGCCACTGAGTTGACACTGCTCAATTGACTTAATCAAAGCTTTGTGTTTTTTTCTACTGTACTCCCGAGTGCACTCTTTAGAAAAACATCTGGGAGATGGATGTGTTTTACTTTATGTTCAAGTGAGAGACAACTGCAATTGGTTTTTGGGTTGCTGTTGTAGTTAGAACAATAAATACATTACATTCATTATTGAATATATGAATGCAGTTTCAAGGTGTTTACTTCTGTTCTGCTAACTGTAATGTGTTATGGTTTTTGGGATAAACCTGTAAGTTAGTATGTCCAGCAATTAAGTACGGGGACTATCTATCTAGTCATTGATTAGTACTCCTTTAGTATGGTTTGTAAGCAGAGAAATATAGCACCGCTGGTTGAATCATGCTGTTGTTCCTGTGAAGATCCTGAACTATACATTTATCTGTTTGTTACACTACCTAACAATGTAAATATAATGGCAGTAGCTTACAGCTGTGGTTGTCACAGAGATACTGACTGGGAATCATGGATGCAACAGAAGGGTGCTGCCCCAGCCAGGACAGGTAAAGACAAAGCAAATCTCTCGATCTAACAGGTCTTAGGATTTTTGGGAGGAAGATTTTACTCATATTTACCAAGTGCCCAATGCTTTAACCTTCTCTTATTGACATGCTACAGAAGGAATCCTGGAGGTGTGCTTTTTGAAAGAGCCATGTCAGAAGTCATTTAGACAGTTCTTTGGTAATCCAAGAACATTAAAAGTTACTTCCAGAAACAATCACCTTTTCAAAGTAGTTTGGGGATGAGAAAGTGCTACTGTTGAGCAGAGTAAACGTGTGAGGTAGGGAAGGAAGCTTTCTATTGTGTGTTACAGGCAGTGTACACTCAGGAGGACTGAGAGCTTGCATGCTGTTTCAGTGACAGGTCCACAATGAGCTCATATATTCAAAGATCAAACTGTATATGTATACTGAAAGCCTTTCTTCTTGCCTTTTGTCTGGTTTTAGATATGTTTAATTAAATTAAGAATCTCTCTTGCAGAAGTTAGATGTTGTTCAGACATTGGGCTAGATCAGTAGCCTCTCCCAGCAGGCAAGCAGAGCTTCCCACTGGCAAGCAGTTGCAGTACCAAGTTGTGTCTGGCTGTGTAAAAGCATGTGCTGCCCACCTCATTTCCCAAAAGTGAAAACCATGGATTGACTCAGCTGCTTTAATCAGGTGTAATGGTGGAAGTGTGATGATAAGTACGCTTCCTCTGTGGCTGTGCCAGTGCTGCTTTGTGGAAAAATACACCCACTCTGATTGTAATATAGAAGCATCATAAATCAGAATTACTATTAAAGCAGAACTGAGTTTAATTTGGCTGAGAGACAGAGTTTTACACAAATGGAGAGCTTTCCTGTGAGACTGAGTTACTCCACATTAGAAAACCCCTTAATTTTTTTTCAGTGTAAGTTTTTAAAGTGGATGGTGAAGTAGAGGAGCTCTAGCTAAACGTGCTAGTGCTGTGTGAGATCCACCA